GATCTAGTGACTGGCCTACAGGAGAACGTTCAAAGATATCTGGCAATTATCTCATTACCTACAAAGTTTATAGTTCAAGTATTTGGCACCAAAGCTTATTTGTTTTTAGTTACACAAGTAACATGCCTCAAGGGGTAGAAACCACTTCCAGACTGAAATTTCTTAACTGTTGCAGACATCACCATTAAAGCTTTGTACAGACATTTATGGTCCATCGACAACGAATCCTACTGACTGCGGAGAGCCTCAGACATTATAGACCTATATTATATAATATATATTTTAGGGGTGAAATGCTAACATGTTCAACTAAGATGTGAAAAATAAATTGTCATAATGAGCATGTTAGTGTTTAAATCATCAAAACCTTGCTGTGCTGAAATCTGGCCTCTTAATATACGGAACCCTAAAGTGTTCAATATTTGTGGGGTTTTTTTTTGTTGTTTTTTTTAGAAAACACTAATCATTTGAATTATTTGTGGAAAATGTGTAACTGAAATGTGAAATTATTACAAATTGATGTGGTTAATCCCTTTATTTTCACAATGAGCTTTTTTTTCCACTGGTCCTGGCAGCGGTGATGTTATCACATCTATTACACTCTACTCCACCGACAGGAATGATCCAGTGAGCACCTGTTAGCTGGAGTTACAATGATTTTGTTACTTTGAATACTAGGAGTTTGACTGAAAGAACAGTTAGAACACCACTGTTACGAAAAGTGGCATTTAGAAATGTATGTCACAGGCGAAAATTATGTTCTTATACAAAAATTGACTTTTCAGAAACTGTATTTAAAAGTATAATGAAAATCCTTAGGTGCAAGTTGATCCTCTTTATTTTTTCTTGTTTGTAGAAATGTTTTTTCAGATTGGGCACTACATTTCTGGAGAGTTTTTTTATTGTTTAGCAGATTGTTGCATTGAACTGAATGTGTTTCCTATTTGTGTTCTGCTGCTATTGCTTCTTTCTCATGTTGGCGGAACAGGTTTTCAAAGTCAGTTTAAAAAGCAGCTCTCATCTCTTCTCCCCGCAGACCGCCGTCGGTCAGTCCAGCCGCGGCTCAAACCCGGTGACCGTTCAGAGCAGCGATCGCCGTTCCGGCCCTCGCGCCAAGTCGCAGCTCCCCGTCCCCAGCAGCAGAGGGCAGCAGACACGAGCCTCCCCCGCCGCCAGCAGCAGCAGCAGCAGCAACAACAACAGCAGCAGCAGCAGCAGCAGCAGCAGCAGCAGCAACCCCAGCCGAGTCCAGACACCCCCCAACCGCAGCAGAAACTCTAACAGCAGCAGCAGCAGAACAAAGCAGGCTCCATCCAGCAGCAGCAGCAGCAGCAGCAGCAGCAGCAGCAACAACAACTACTACCATAACATCGACAACAACCAATCACACAAGGACATCTGGATCCTCCACAGAGACGTGCATGAAAACAACAACAAGTAGACATTTTTTCCCTTCTCCTCCCCCCCATGATTCCGCTGTGAACCTCCCTCCATGATGTAAAGACTAGGTACCTGACGACCTTTGACTCTTAGTATTTGTACTCGTTATCTGTACTTGTTACACTGTACTACAGTTGTGTACTTGGGGACCATAGTTTTATTCTATTACAGTATTTGAATTATGTGATTGCTCGGGCGTAAAAAGAGGGTTATATGGGAAAAGCAACAGAAGGTAATGCAGCAGGTTATTTTACTGTTGCCTTAATTCCAGTGTATCAACCTGCATATTATGGGATAGTGTTCATTGGACAAAATGCAATGGAAGAATTTACCGAAATAAGAGTTGACATATAAAGTATTTAACTGGTGGAAACTGCCTCAAACAGTCCTGGCACAGTGTTTTTGTGTACTTAAAGTGAAATACTGTGCTTCTCCTACTGGTACAAGGCCACCGAAGAGTGTTTTTGGATCAAAGAAAGAAACAAGCAGGTTTTTATTTTTTGTTCATTTGTTGTTTTTGCTATTACGTATTTTGAGATATTCAAGTGTTTTATCTTCAAATAGTCGCAAGGTTGGTTTAAATACTGTTGAAATTAATCAGGGTTTTACCAAATATATTTGTAAATAAGAATTAGTACGTTTAAATGCTCTATAGATTGGTGTATGTGGTATGACGCTTGTACAGTGATTAAACCTTAAAAGCAAAACTGCTGAAAAAAAAAGAACCTTGTACATAGTGTTTGTAAGACGAGTTTGGTTCTGAACCCTTCACTTGTTTCAAAGCGAAGGTGATGTGGCAATAAGTAATAGAACTGTATAAACACAGATGTCCTCTGTCCACTGTAAGCCATAATAAATACTTTAAATGCCCATTATTTCCCCCGACTCATGTTCAACTGAACCCCAGCTGAGCCCAACAGTGTAATTCACACTTTTTTTTCATGCTTTCCATTATTACTGTGTATGTTTTTATTCTTAAGGACACGATTTTTTTTTTTTTTTTGAAGCGGACATTGTTTATATATATATAAATATATCTATACATATGTACAGGAGAGATTTTAGTCAACCTATGATTTTGATCTGTACGATAGCTGTTTGAGGTTTAATGAATTGTCTTTCAAGCACAAATATTAAAATGGCACTGTTAAAAACCCCCATCAGCCTTTTCTGTTTCTTTTTACTCTTGGGTTCTTTGATGTTTACCTAAACATGGCCTTTTTGGGTTCCATAGTGAGTGAACCCCGTTGACAGCCGACACTCATATTTAACATTCAAACTAAGTTTTTGGCAGCAAATGTTCAATCAGCAAAACCACATTTGGAGGCAACAAGGCTTGCAATATGACTGAACCTCAGCAGATCCATCTCATCCATCCATTAT